ATATATATATATGCATTGAAAGTATAAAATAATTTTTCTAGATCATTCAATCATAAATTATCATTTATTGTAATTTATTGACTTTTAGAATAACTATCTTTAAAGAATGTTTGATAAGTGAAAATTTTTTCATACCTAAGAATTATGATTTCTAAGAATTATAAATTTTGAGAATCATGGTTCATAAGAATAATTAAAATCTGTTTGTCCCTAAAAATATTCATACAGGATTCTTGGGAATTAAATATTTTCATGTTTTGTTATAATAATATATTTCTAGGTATGTAACTATTTTTACAAAAATATCTTTTATTAAAATAAATTCATTAAATATATTTATTTATTCAAATCTTATTACAAACATGATGTTAAACTATTTTAAAATGTTGAAAACTTATTTAAAATTATTTAAATACATAAATCAACAAAACAAATAAATAAAAAATGTTACATAATAAATAAGAAGGATAAAAATATATTATTTCATTTCATTCAAATAATAAATAAATAAATAAGTATTAAGAAATATTATTAAATTGTAAAAACAAAACAAACTTTAATAATATTATTAAAATTAATAAAATTAATAAATAATGAGATACAACAAAGAGAAAGAAGAAATTGAGATATGGGAGAAAGAGGCAACAAGAAAGGAAGAAAGAAAGAGAAATAGGAGAGAGAAAGAGAAATATAAGGAGTGAAAAATTTTTTGTTTTAAAAAGAAATATTGTAGTATTTTTATATAAAAAAAACTTTCTCCTATTATTGATTGATTGATTATATAAACTATTTTACATTGAGAATGTATGACTAGTAAATCCTTTAAAAAATGATTATTAATGGTTATATTTTTATATTATTATTATTAGATATAAATTTAGCATGTATAATTTTTATAGATAGATATAATTATATTGCATATAAACAGAGTCGTTACGGTAGTAGTTGATTGAGTTGTTAAAGATTTTTACATAAACGGAAAAGGCCAAGTCCGTTAGTTATTTCTTTTAAAATGGCCCCAACCCAACAGCAGAGCAGAGGCATTGTAAGTGTACAAAAAACAAGAATCTAGAGAAATGGAAGGCTCAACAACAAAGGATAACTTACCCTCTAAACCAATAATACTGCAGAGTCACAACTTAAAAAAGGTTTGTTCTTTATTAAACATTGTTTTGCCATTTTCCTTGGATTCAATTTCATCAAATGTTGTCTAACCCAACAATTTTGCTGTCACAGTATATACTGGAGACCAGCGTTTACCCACGAGAAACTGAGATTCTCAAAGAGCTCCGGAATGCCACTGCAAGCCACCCTTGGTGATTACTCTTTCTAGATTAAGAAACATCAATATTATTAACACAAACATGAATACAAATTTTAAAAAGCTTTGGAGAGTCTATTTACTCGAAATTAGTTTTTTTTTTTACACACTTCTAACTTTGTTAGACTTGTTTCTCTATTTGAATATAATTTTAGAAGTGTTTATCAAAAAATATTCTTTATTTTTAGTAAATAAATTCTAAAAAACGCTTATAACTTATATTGAAACAAACTTTAAAAAAAATTATATATAATAAAAGGTCTTGCTTCATAAACTAGATTGCCAAATCTAATGAGGAAACTTATTTAATTTGTTTAATAACTTTTTAATTCACTAGGAGCCATGTGGCCGCTGAACCCGATTCGGGTCAGTTAATAGCCATGCTCTTGAAGCTGTTGAATGCTAAAAAGACAATTGAAGTGGGAGTTTTTACGGGATACTCTCTTCTCCTCACAGCACTCACCATTCCTCATGATGGAAAGGTTTGCATCTTTTGTTGTTGTTTGGTACACTTAATATGTTGGTTTTATATATGTTATTACCAACTTTATTGTATGCGTGGTGAAGATTATAGCCGTGGATCCAGACAGAAAAGCTTATGAGATAGGACTACCATTCATTAAAAAGGCTGGTGTAGAGCACAAAATCGACTTCAAAGAATCTCCAGGTTTACTCGTTCTTGATAAACTCATAGAAGATGTGAGCATGCACCATTCTTTGTTACTAACGTTACACTGGCAATTTTATATTTTTTCACATTTCTCCTTAGTAAGGTAACATTATCATATTGAAAAATTTTAAGAAGTCATTACAAAATCTAATAAGTCTCACTTTATTTAATGACCATATATATATGTTTAGAGAATTAATTTGTTAGTATTTCTCTTATGATGTTAGCACACAAGAGGATCCTAAGATTTGTTCTACTTATTGACATTTCAAGCCTGTTGCAGGCATGGAACAAGGAAAGTTTTGACTTTGCCTTCGTTGATGCTGATAAAGATAACTATTGGAATTACCACGAGAGGCTTCTTAAACTGGTAAAGGTTGGTGGGTTAATTCTCTATGATAACACTCTTTGGAGTGGAACTGTTGCATGGCCTGAAGAGGATGTTCCACGTCACATGAGAAAATACTGGCAGGCTGCTTTGGCTTTCAACCAAAAACTTGCAGATGATTCTCGTCTTGAAATCTCAGCCGTTTCAATTGGTGATGGGCTCACTATCTGCAGGCGTACTCGTTGAACATCATTTCCCATTGTTGTTTTATGAAATTGGATAATTTTATATGTTCAAGAATAAACATTATTCTTAATAATTTATGGGAGAATATCAAACGTTTGTAACAGTTATTCTGTTGTAGGACCTCCATTGCCAATGATAATTAAAATAAAAATTGATGATTGCGGTATTTTGATTGATTTTGCTATGGATACAACATCGTAAGAAAAGAGAGTTATATGAAGTGTTCACAACCACACTATTAAATTTTAGTCTCAATTTGTCTAATTATGGGAATACCAGTGATATAGAGAGTTATTTTTTATTTGTGTCTTTTAATTTACAAGAACTTTCTCTATTCCCTTTTCTTTCTAATTTGGAGAGAAACGGTTTACGTGGGATCTACTTAATTATTTTTTCCCTTTATACTTTATTATTATTAAATAAATAGAAATTACTTATTTTATTTTCTTTAAAAAAATTTAAAGAAACCGGCCATAGTGTATGAGCGAAATTTGTGTTAATTTTCATGTTGAATATAAAGCTATTTTCACGTATTTATAATCAAGTAATTATATCATTATTTTTTTTAAATTTTTTCTTAGAAACGTGCTTTTTAAATAAAATAAGTACTTTTTTATGTGTGTTTTTTTAAACTTATTTTTTTAAATAAGTAATTTTATTTTTTCTTTTTTTTTTTATAAAAAGAACTCCTATCTATTTCTTAAATAATTACTTTTTTATAAAAATATTTTTTTAAAATATTTCTTTTTAAGTTTAAATAAATAGATCTAAGCACTATAAGAATGATATCTTTTTAAAGTCAATTTACTTATTTAACTAAAATTTAAATTTATTAAAAAAATGTTGTGACTGATTAGTTACATCTAAAGAGGCTAATCACCAAATCTCATTTATGCGTGTTCTAACCCTATGTTTGGGAGGTGGGAGCAGATGGATTTGAGAGAAAGGGAGTGGATTAAAATTTAGAAAGGATTTAATAAAAATATTTTTGTTTAGTAGAATTAATTTATGAAAAATTATGTAGAAATTTATGTGAGTCCTATAAGTTACAAAAATATCCTTTATAAAAAAAGGAATTATCGTGAAATTGAGATTGTTTGAATAAAATGATAAATATAACTTTATAATATCAGACATCATATTCTAATATATTACCAATATAATGAAATATGTAAGTAGAACACAATTGTACAAAGTATCATGAGTAATTATATTAAAATACATTATTAATGTACTATATTATGCACAAAAATAGAAACACAATATGTAATATAAATGCATAATTGGTTATGCCAACAAATATGATCGATTATTCTGCTATATTACATTAAAAAAATAATCTCACTTCAATATAATGGGAAGGATAAAATTGTAATTACATTTTTTTACATAAAAATCTATTTATATAATATTTTTTTTCATCTAATTTTACTTTATCAAATAATTATAAATTAAATTTCCCTCATTTAACTCTATTTTTTACCTATTTCCTATCAAATAAATTTTCAAATATTCTCTTCCTTTTCTTTTAATTCCTTCCCTCCTGCAAGCAGAGCATAAGGCTACTAAAAGCCTTTGTCACTTGAATAATTTGGCATTTCTCAATTCAAAATAATTATTATATGTATTTACTTTTTCTTCTATTTATTTATTTATTTATTTTTTATCTCATTATCTATCACTTTTATATATATTTTTTTTTTATTTTTTTATGTTCACTATTCGTATGTTTAGTTGTGAAAAAAGAATGTAAGAAAAAAATAAAATGAAAAATGAAAAAAAAATTAAGAAAAAGAAAAATAGAAATATTTATCTCTAACATACTGATTGTTGAGAATATAAAGAGGTTAAAATACTTTTTTAATCTACTTATTTTACCTTTTAGTCTCTGTAATTTAAATAGATATTTTTATTCTTTATATTTATCTTAATTAATCTTTTTTAGTCCATAATCCTTATAATTTAGGATATATCATTTTAGTTCCTATACCTGACTTTTTTAATCCCTTTTAGTATTTATTGTTATTTTTTTTTTTGTAATATCATCTCTCTCGTGTTGATGTGATGGTGATCTTTAATTTTGTAAGGGTAACAAAAATGTGTCTCAACAATGAGTGTCTAAATGAGGGTAAAAAAGAAGTACAAATAGTCAATTAACCTAATTTTGACTACTTAGCAAATTAAATTCGACATCAAACACATAAAATTGAGTCAATAAATATGTTATGTCAACATAAAAGAGACAATGTTAAAAAAAAAATTAACAGAAATTAAAAGGATTAAAAATTATAAGTATAAAGAATAAAAAGTCATACATTAAACTATGGGAACTAAAAAGAGATAAGTATACGAACTAAAAATTTTATTTTAAATTATTAAGATTAAATGATAAAATAAGTAAAATAAGGCTAAAAAAATATTTTAACCATATAAAAAAGGAGAGAAATAAGGAGAGGGAACAAGTGATATTCTGAGCTTGTTTAAACAATGTTTTAAAATTCAATCAATTATTGTACCAATGAATACACTAATTTAAAATTTAATGATAATTAATTTGTTATCTAATTGATATTAATAAAAGAATTATGATAATTAAATAATATTAAATAGATATAATATCATAATTGTATGATAATAAAAATAAATATAAAAAAATATTTTATAAATTTTTAACATTTAAGTACATAAATGTCTTAAAAAAAATACATGTAAAAGTGTAAATTAAATATAATATAATGTTTAAATTTAAATGTTAACAAAATAGACTTTTTTTTTTAATATATCAAAATTTTTTTATCCAAATAACTCACCTCCATTTTTATTTACCCATTTTGCAGCCCAAGTGAGGAAAAATGGGGGTGGGTTGAATATTTTCTAAACAGTAGCAGTTGAAACAGGATTTCTACACCAATTTTGAATTGATTTTAGATTAATTTGCATTGTTATTTAAGGGATGGATAACGAGGCTAATTATAGTATGAATAATTAAGCCGGCCTATTAAGTTGGATTTTAAAAATAATGTATTTAAGCATTAAATTGGAAAGGAGATTATGAAATTTTAATAGGGCCGCACAATTGAATGATTTATCTTCCTTCCCCCAACAACCGTGAAAGGGGACCAAGGTTCGGCCGAATATTGTAATTTACAAATTAAATTTACAAATTAAATTTACCACTATTTGCCCTTCCTTCCGGTTCTTGAATGCTGCTTTACAACCAAAACTTTACATTATGCTATGTACATTATCAATTAAACCAAAAACTGCGTTATTTTATTTTTATTATTATTACTAGTAAGTAAAAGAGAAGGTTTTCAGAGATGATTGTAGTAAAAAAAAAATATTAAATTTTTTTATTTTGGTAATTGAAAAAAAATTAAAAAAATATATTAAGATTAGAGTGAGTTTGTGGCCATTTCAAGCTTTTAATCAAGGTTAAATTATACTTTGTATTTCTTTATTTTTTTAATTTTAATTCAATTTTATTATTTTTAAATGATTCAAATTAATCTTTTATTTTTTTTTAAATGTTCAATATTAAATTTTCATTCAAATTGACATTAACAATGTTAATGAAATTTGATGAAAAAAAATAATATTTAATGTTGTTTGAAAATTAAATAATTAAATTGAATCATTTAAAATATTCAATTTAATTACATTATTTTTAAAATGCTTAATTTGATTATCTAATTTTAAAAATAAATGTTTAATTTTGTTCTTTCACCTAACTTCAAGTATGTCTCGTTAATATTTTTTAATATGCTATTCTAATAATCTATACACACAAAAATAAGGGTGAGATCCCCCTCCCCCCTCTTCCAATTATAACGCATGCACACACTCCTTAAGTGTTTTTTTGAAGAGGTGAAAGAATGGAGGTTGCAACGTGCAACCCCCTCTAGACACTTCTTTTAAAATGGCCCGAACAGGAGAGGCATTGTAAGCGAAAGAAAACAAGAATCGAGACAAATGGAAGGTTTAACAACAAAGGATAAATTAATCCCTAATTCAGCAATACTGCAGAGTGAGAACTTGACAAAGGTGCGTTGTTTATTCAACATTATTTTGGCATTTTCCTTGGATTCAATTTCATAAATTGAAGTTTAACCCAACAATTTTGTTGTGACAGTATATACTGGAGACCAGCGTTTACCCACGAGAGGCAGAGACTCTCAAAGAGTTAAGGAATGCCACTGCAAGCCACTCTAGGTGATTATTCTTTCTAGCTTATTATGAATCATGAATCATCAACATTATTATTATTAACACGAACATGGACCCAGTCTAACACAAAGTGTCTACGTTAAGTAGACTTGTTTCATAAACTAGATTACCTTCTTTTTTTTTTTTTTTTTGCTGAATGTAAACTAGATTACCTAATCTAACATTACTAGGAAACTTTGTTTAACAACATTTTCATTCTTCAGGGGCTTCATGGGCGTTGCACCTGATGCAGGCCAGCTAATGGCCTTGCTATTGAAGCTGTTGAATGCTAAAAAGACAATTGAAGTGGGAGTTTTTACTGGATACTCTCTTCTACTCACAGCACTCGCAATTTCTCTTGATGGAAAGGTTTGCATTTTTCTGTTGTTTGGCACATTTAATATGTTTGTTTTATGTTAGCAACTCTATTGTCTGTTGTGGTGAAGATTATAGCCATAGATCCAGACAAAAAAGCTTATGAGATAGGACTACCATTCATTAAAAAGGCTGGTGTAGAACACAAGATCGACTTCAAAGAGTCTCCAGCTTTACCTGTTCTTGATAAACTCTTAGAAGATGTGAGCATGCACGATTCTGTATTACTTTCATGTTACTAAAATAACAATGTCATTTCATATTATAAGGAAAAAGTTAAACTTTAATGCAGCCTTCGAATAGGGAATCTTTTGACTTTGCCTTCGTTGATGCTGATAAAGATAACTATTGGAATTACCACGAGCGACTTCTTAAACTGGTAAAGATTGGTGGGATAATCATCTATGATAACACTCTTTGGGGAGGAACTGTTGCATTGCCCGAAGAGGATGTTCCAACACCCAAAAGAAGATTCAGGAAGGCTACACTGGATTTCAACAAAGCAATTGCAGATGATTCTCGCGTTGAAATTTCTGCTGTTTCAATAGGTGATGGCTTCACTATCTGCAGGCGTACTCCTTGAACATCATCTGCCAATGTTGTATTATGGTTGAATTAACTAATGTACTATGTTTTCGGTTTAGTGGGTGGGGCTTGCTATAATTACGTACTAGGAACTTTGTTGTGGGGTAAATTAAAGTGAATTAATGTATTTTGTTGCGGTATTTATTAGGTACTTAGTATGAATGATGTGTACTAGAATTTGACTTGCCTCATCATGATCTGCAGGGCATATGGTGTGACTCTGATGTAAAACTGGGAGCGTTGCTATTTACTATTAATAAATAAAACAAAACGTTGTGTTGTGGCCTGTCTATAATGGAATGTTTTGCTTCAGTGTAAGATGCGTTATTCTTACAGATGTTTGGTAACGCGGAAATTAGTTTAAGGTGAATACCCAAATTAGTCCATAAAAACAACATCGTTCATGTATTAGAAGTAAACAGAAACCAGTGCGCAGAATGGTTGAATTAACTAAAGGACTACACGAGTGCAACTTCGAATTAGAAACAGATTATGATGTACAAAGTACGGGAGCACAATATCCATTCATGTTAACAAAAACGGGACTAATTCCACAAAGCATCAACTCTAATCTACCATACTCATCATGCATGAGCTGCTATGTTATAACCTTCATACAGGAGAAAAGCATTCTGTCTTCACATAAAACATAAAACATAAAACATTCTTTGAATGTTTGTCTGGAAACATAGATGAACATAATACCTGGTCAAAATAGCAGACAAATGATCATTCTAGTGAAAGAAACCAAGAACCTGGCCACCTACATTCTTTTTAATCGCCTCTTCATGATCCAAAATACCATCAGGAGTTGTAATCACAACATAACCCCACTGCACGCACAGAGAAAGAACTGCATAATTATCCTTTTCCTTTTGTTCTTGAAACACAAATTATAACAACTAGCATTCCTATAACATGAACACGGAACATTAAGCATTAACCAACCTGATGCGTTGGAAGAGTCTTTAATCTGTAGGCTTCAATATCCCTTGCCTTGAGGTCTTTTCGGAAAGTAAGGGCCTTGCAATCATTAATCCTACCTTGCAGTTCAACCGTGATCCTCCCCACTCTATGCGGATCATAGACTTGAAAGTCCCTGATATAACCTATCAGAAGCATATGCCAAATTACTTACACCAACAGTAGCATTGTAGTAGTAATAGTGATTATCACAAGTTCACAATGACAGAATTTTAGTTAGGTTTATGGCCTTTCATTTCCATCCAACTAGGCAAGCAGATATTTCACATACAGAAAGCCATACATACTCAGAAGTCAGAACATACTCCCCAAATGGAAAATAACAATAACAGTAATCATGGACTTGTATGAATAAATATCTACATAAACATTTATAAGAGAAACAATGGGAGCAAACAGTAATGGAAGAAGTCCTCCAAAGTCCAAAGACAAAAATCCAGCAGAGAGAGAAAATCACAGAAGAAACATTTTGCTAGTTAATTAAAAAGGGGATTCATATGATTTCAGTGATGCCCAGATTTGAAATTACCATGGTGTTTCATGATGCGGAGAAAGGAAGACATGAGAGTGGAGATTGGCTTGAGATCCACCGTAGCTTTCCCTCTCCTCTCAGCATTCACCATACTCCTCAACGCATCATTCAGTATCCTCCTCCCCATCTCTCCCAAACCCTCTCCCTCTCTCTCTAGGGTTTTCGAAACATAATGGATTATTAATTTCAAACACAAGGGCATATTCGACATTTCAGCCACGTCAAACGAAAACGTGAAATAATTTTAGTTAGTTATCCACACACACATAACAAAACACAATTTCACAAACGATAAAAAAAAAGAAAAGAAAAACTCCTCTCTCTCTGTTTATGGTGAACGATGGAGGAGCTACCAGGTCCCGTGGTGGTGGAGATCCTGAGTCGTTTAACGGACTCAAGGGATCTGGCGCGGTGCAGGGTGGCATCGAAGAGCCTAAACGCGGTGTCGTACGAGGTGCCGTGGCTGAACATGGTGTGTTCCATGTCGCGGTACCTCAAGTCTCGTTCGCCGGAGACGAAGCACCTCGTGACGCCCTTCAAGACCGTGTTCGCGGACCTGGTGCGCCGCTCCAACAACCTCGAATCGGTGTCGGTCGGCGTGGACCGCGCCCTCGGCGGCGTGTCCTTCGACGACGTGGAGGACGAGTCCGATGATCTCTACCTCACCGACTTCAACTTCATCAGAGGCTGGCTCCCCTCCGTTTCCCACGCTCTCAAGTCCTTCTCCATCTCCGATTTCTGGGTCCAATCTTGTTGGCGCCGATCCGAAGCCTTGTCCCTCATCTCTTCCACGTGTCAGTTTCTCATTTCTCAATTTCCCTTCCTCCATTTTTTTTCTTCCCCTACGCGACTAAATATTTTGTTGTGTTTCAATAGGAATTAGAGTTTCCCATTTTTAATACGTGATTTGTGTGTTTTGTTGAATTATAATTAGAATTTGAGTTTCACATCTTTAATTCGAAGTTTGTTTTAAAGATTAGCTTAGTTTAGAAGGAAACTTCAATTCTGATCAATCAAAGAATAATAGGACTAAAAGAACCTGATGGTGTGTTTGGAATGTAGGATGGAAAGTGAAGAAATAGAAGAAAAGATAATTTGAATTTTTGTTTTTTAAAAGCAATGCATATCAAAAATGTCATAGAAAATTATATGTAGAAATTACAATCACGGATCATAATAAGAACACAAGACTTCGAGCATACTAATTCAACCCATAAGCAGGCCGGCCTTAATGATTATAAAAAAAATTAAGCAAATTTGAATAGGAGGGAAAGA